CCTAGAGTTCCAAATGCTCAAACTTAAAAAATTAGAATATTTTTATATTTCTGAAGTTTTTCTTTTTATTAGTATTATAACCTCTTATCTCTGAAACACTTTAAATAAATGCATATCCTATAAAGAAATTCATACTTGTCCATTAAGATGGGGTGCTGGTAAAATGAAGTTAATTTTTCTGGTCAGTTGAAGAGTGATTTTCCTAAAGCCTGAATGAAGAGATGCCTACACGCACACAAACACACACACACACACACACACACACACATGGGTACTCACTTGCAGTGTCCAAGGATATGTGTGGGATTAAATTTTTAAAACTTACTGAAGTATCTACTTGAAATATAGAGGTGGCCATGGAAATTGGGCACTGCCTAAATTACAACAGGGGATACAATCAGTGGATAATTATTATCCAAAGAGAGAGTATATGGGACTGGTGTGTCAATACTTCTTTATATCCTAAATCGAAGTCTTAGCCTGGTAGGAAAAAACTTGTTCAACCCTTGTTTGGTTTCCTAGATGATTCTAAATGCTTAGAAGGAGGGATCAACATTTTCCACTCTGAGCATCCAGGTCTTACCATTTACCTGGAACAGGAGTCCTCAAACTTTTTAAACGGGGCCAGTTCACTGTCCCTAAGACCATTGGAGGGCTGTTGGAGAGCACGGTGCACATTCCACACATGTGCACTGTGGGCCTGGGACCAGTCGGCTGCTAAGCAGGACAGGCAGCAGCAACAAAAACACCCAGCGGGCCGGATAAATGTCCTCGGCGGGCTGCATGTGGCCCTCGGGCTGTGGATTGAGGATGCCTGCCATAATGTATCAGAAGTCTTGAGAGAAAAAGAAAAAAATAACCATTAGCTATTATATAACAGGCAGCTCTCCACAGTCAAGAGTCTGATGTTCCAGTCTCTAGGGTGAGTTTGGGTTGGACAATAATAGTTTGCAGTACAGTACTCAGCCTGGCTGCCCTGCTGACAGACGTTAGCATGCAGCTTTAGAGTTGCTGACCTGGATTTCTGTTGGTGAAGCAGTCACGTGATGCTAATCCTGCTCTTTTCTCCATTCTCTTACCTTTGATTTACATCCTGGCCCCGTACTTAAAAAAGTCAGAAAGAAAAGGAATCCCTCCTAAGCGAGTCTGTTTCTTTGAGCAGATAATTATTATCAGAATGTCATACTTTATCTTAATTAAACCATCCCCAAGGCTTGTATAGAACTTTTATATTTATATAAAGTCACCTAAAAGCACACATTCTCCATCTTCAGTTCTGCCCCAGTTGCTAACAGAGGCATTGCCCTTGGATGGTGACCTTAAATCTTGTCCTAGTTTAGGGGCATTAAAGTATTCTTGGAATGGGGTCCTTTCCTGTAAGCGATGACATCCTGGATATTTGAAGGACTGGTGAAGTCTCTGTCAGACAAATTCTTGGGGGCCCCCCTGCCCCTCCCAGCACCCAGCAGGGCCCCAGCTCCCAGTGCAGTCCGCTCTCAGTGCTCTGAAAGGAGCAGGGCTTGGAGGTCTCCAGTCAGCCCCAAGGTCAGATGCACTGGCTTTCGCAGGAGCTCAGTGGCAGGAAACGAGGCACGGGCCTGGAGGGCCCCACCGGCCCACCCACGTCCTGCCACGCCATGCGTTGGTTGCTAGGAGTCCCGGGAGCGCAGCCTGCGAGCACACCTCGTTCCCTCCCGACTGGAGCCTGTTATTTTTACCACACCTGCCTGCTCTCCGAGCCTGTTTCTTCTGCTCCTTCTAAGTGACTGAGTGCCTCCAGAGAAAGGATGCCAATGGGATTTTTCTAATTAAAGGTGTTTTCGATGGGGAGTTTTTAAATCCAGAATGAAATCTGGCTTGTTATACTTTTAAATCCCGTGGCTCGCGGCGCGTGATAACCAAACTGTGCATGTGGCTCAGCAGAGGCCGTCTCTTAAAGCTAAGTCGTCATTTCTCAAGAGCTCGTCATTAAGACTTTAGCTTTCCAGGGTCCACCGATGATTTCAAATCCACACGAGCCCGTACTGCTGCCATTTGCTCTAATGACCATTTTTTTAAAAAAAATCCCTTTGGATGTATGTGATTTCTACCAAGGTCTGACTATCTTGGAAAAATATCACACAGAGTAGAGTCTGGGGGTCGGGTCAGGGGGACTTGGTCAGTTACGAGGTGGATAGTGACTAGTGCGACTTTATTTATGGCAATTCGTATCACTGTCCGGTGATGGTTATTATATTTTTCAGTCCATTTCTGCCTTTATGAGCACACTGATCTTGGAAAATTATCTAGGTCCTCTTTTCCATTTCTAGTCAACAGCGACTCATTGATTTTGGCTGTATAGTAAAACAGCCGGTGGTGATGAAGGTATCATAGTACCAGTGAGTCATAAAGGCGAGTGCCGATTCTCATTCACTCTCAGGAAGAAGGAGTATGTAGAAAGGATCTCAGGGGAGCGAAGTATGACTCTGCTTTGAGCCATTCCTTGAGTCACACAGTATTAAGATTTGACATGATTATTACCTTAATTGACTTGGAGTTAGACAGTTCCCATACTTGGTTTTGCCTTTGGATTAACGGCGTGCAAACTTTGCGGAAGTGCGCGAGTTCAATTTTTCTGGCATCATGTCGCATTGCTAAGAGTGCAATACTGCACAGCGAATACAGAGGACTCAGTAAGTACTGCAGTAAGGGTCTGTCTGATCCGAGCCCCCTCTCCCATTTCATATCTCCATCCTCTGTCTTTCCCTTTTCTTCTCAGTGTCTCTGTCACTACTGAAACAGAAATGTTAGGATTCATTCCTTTGTTTAGTGACTGTTTATTGGGATTCTGTGCCAGGATGGGCTCTGGGGCTGCAGCGGTGTGTGTGGTGGACAAGGCCTCCGTACTGGCACAGAGTCTAGCCCGGTGTGGAGACCAGGGGACCGGACCCAGCCCACACCTGTCTTAGTAAAAAAAGACTCATTGGGACACATCTATGCACATTCATTTACATATCGTTTGGTAGCTGCTTTCACACTGCAGAGGCAGATTTGAATAATTGCACAGAGACCCATGGTCTGTGAAACCAAAAATATTTACTACTTGACCCTTCACCAGAAAAGTTAGCTGACCCCTCCTCTCACAGGTAACGCTGGAGGTGTTGCATACATGCAGGCTGGAGCCTGAAAAGCCCCCACTCCCCGAGGACAGTGGGCCTGGCGGAATGTTGTAAGCAGGGAGAGTAATGTGTTCGTATTTGAGTGCTAGAAAAGTCCTGTGTTCATGCATTAGGAAGAGAAGCACTAAGTTATGGTGGTTAGGGGTATGGGCTCTTGAGCAGACTGTTTGGACCGAAATTTTGTATACCAGGTGTTGATTCTGATCTTGGGTAAACTTCTCTGTTAGGATTTCTGTCTATAAAACAGTAATGGTAATCATGGTACCTAATTCATGGATTAAAAGAGTTAATATCTGTGAAGCACTTAGAATAGAGTGTCCACAGTGGTTACTGTTGCAGTAGTTCTGCTTAGAGGTGACAGTGGCCCGAGGCAGTGGCAGTGAGGATAATAGAAGTGGCCAGACTCAGGGGCTACACAGGTGATGGAATTCACAGGGATTCGTGGTCGATTGGATGTCAGTAAGGCAGATAAAAGAGAACAATCCTTAGTCATCCCGTACCTACTAAATTCGCATCTGAAATAATTTTCTGTAGAGATTTTTGCCTCTAAGTAAACTATCAGCAGACAGCAACCCACACATCAGCATCATACCCAGAACCTTACCTCTGTGTTCCTGTGTTCTTCAGAGCAGAGTTTTCAACCCTTTCGAGGCAGTTCAAACTCTCTGGAAAAACACTAGTCGGATGGTGCTAATTGTATGATTAATGTGTTAAGGGATTGCACAGTCTTAGGTACAGGGAGGTGACAGACCAGCCAGCCCGCTTTGCATGGTCTAAGTGCACCTTGCCTCTCCCCAGCCATGCACTCTATGACCCCCTGTCTGATTGCAGTGAGCGGCTCTCCCTTAAGCTAGTGATTCCCAGGCTTAGATGCATATTAAAATCACCAGGGTGCTTTTCTAAAAATCCAAATGCCCAGACCAATTAAATCACAGTGTCCAAGGGTGGAACACGGATACCAGTATTTTTAAAGACTGCTGAGGTGATGCTAATGTTGAGAAGCACTGCTTTGCACAAAGGATGGTACTGGGCTAGCAAAACCTTAACATGTGACACCTGAAAAGCAGAAGCACCCAGGATTACTGACTGAAGGATGTGCGTAGGTGATGAAGGGTCCAAACAGAAAAGAGAGGCACCTTTGCTGCGAATGTCTTTATGTGCAGAGTCTGCTTTTCCCTGCCCACCTCTGCAACGGGGCATTTTGGGTGTGGTCCAAAAGCCCAAGCTGACTTGGCAACAGTTATTAGAGGTTTTTTTTTTAATAGTTCTGGATGTGGATAGACTCTCACTGAGGAGAAAATACTGAATCGGGACTGTTGAGTACATATCACCACCATGTTCCTCCCCCACGGGGGCACCAAGCCAGCCTAGTGAGGGGTGACATCCATCTCACACCACTGCCACCATATGGCCGTATGGCTGACGAAAGGTTCTATTTATCATGCACCGGATGACTGGGAAAACCGCATGCTGCGCAACGTGACCTATTGAGCATCTGTTTTAATGAAAGATCCTAAAACCTGATTGCACCATGCCTTAACAATATGCTTTATGAATGGGTCTTTGACAGAGTTAGGTTTATAAAGGGAGAAGTAAACAATTCAGCCATTCATTTATTTTGGAATAGTGAGATGAGGAAACAGCCTTAAATCTTGGTATTTCTTTTCTGTCCTAAAAGATATCCTCTAATGGGAAGTCCTGGTTAATAGCCTGCTTATATTTCACATTGTAAACTGTTTTGTTGCCTCAGCCTTTTTTAAAAACATGAACATTGGTGTCATGAACTCTGCTGTGGTGGTTTGCCTTCATGTACTCATTGTATATCCCCTCCCTTTTGTGTAGGAAGACAGAGATGTCAATAACCCCATGCCTAACCGAGGAGGCAATGGACTAGCTCCCGGGGAGGACAGATTCAAACCTGTGGTACCATGGCCTCATGTTGAAGGAGTAGAAGTGGACTTAGAGTCTATCAGAAGAAAAAACAAGGCCAAAAATGAACAGGAGCACCCTGCTGGAGGAGATTCCCAGAGAGACATAATGCAGAGGCAGTATCTCACTTTTAAGCCTCAGACGTTTACCTACCGTGATCCTGTGCTACGCCCAGGAGTCCTTGGTAACTTTGAACCCAAAGAGCCTGAGCCTCACGGAGTGGTCGGTGGCCCTGGAGAGAATGCCAAGCCATTGGTCTTGGGACCAGAATTCAAACCTGAAGTCCAAGCCAGCATTAAAGAGTTTGGATTTAACATGGTGGCGAGCGACATGATCTCACTGGACCGCAGCGTGGGTGACCTGCGTCAAGAAGAGTAAGCGCACACCCTCTTCCTTCTAAACTCGGGGCAGCTATTATTTCGATCGATGTGCAGGCTTAGTTAGAGTGTTAGAATGGAGAGATTTATTTATGCCTTAGTTTCAAGGAAGTAACAGGTTCTTTGATCAGCAAAGCGGCCAGAAGGAGGAGGCTCCTCCATTTATGCCACCTACTGAAGGTTTGGTATATAAAATTCCGGGGTCTTCTGCCCCAGTGCTTCTCAGAGTGTGGTCCCCAAACAGGTACCGTCTATTGGTTTTTTGTTACCAGTCCACAGTGAGGAAATGAGCTTACATCAGGGTGTAAAGCAACTACATTGTCAAATACTTTGTTTAGGTCAACTGACAGTTTTTTAATAACAAATCTCTCTTGATGTGTTGATTTTCATTGTGGAGCAAGCTGCTTATCTTGTTGTGGAACAATAGCAAATAGCAACAGTGCTCTGCATGTCTTGTATAATTAGCCAGCCTCATGTTTGCTGCGATTTTTTTCTCAGTTACTGAAACTGGGAATTGAAGTGCTTGAATGTGTGCAAAAGGAACACTCAGGTAAAACTGTGGCCTAAACTTTCAAGTTCTTTTCACGTAGCAAGATTTTAAAATGAGGATTTCTAGCTCTTACCTTTTGAGAGACACTGATTATTGAATGAACTCAAGGCTTTTTCTCTTTCAGGTTATTCAATAACCAGGTCTACGGCTATAGGGTCTAAATAGCTTTCATCAGTGTGGATGCAAGTTTAATTCACTGCTGCTAAAGAAAATACTCACAGTGTATTCCTGATGATGTGCTGTTAGCATGGTCTTCATCTTAAAAGGTTAACACAGCAGGTGCACACCCCCACCCCCACCCGTGTACACACACGTACATGCACACACGTGCATTCACCAGCATTCTTTATGACCACTAAGTAAAACTCCATGTCTAACGCAGTGCCACTCGATAGACCTTGGGCATTCACATACATTTATTGGTAAGTGAGAGGGATGGATGAAATTTGCAAAGGAAGCAGGGGTGGAGTATAGCAGCCGGATATATATGATGGTGAGAGGTCTGACCTCTGACACGGAGAAGGGTTGGAGCGTGTCTAGGGGCTGTGACGGAAGAATCTTGGAGCAATGTATTCCCAGTAAAGTACAGACTTGCCTGGTTCTGGGGTTAGCAAATAAAAATACAAGACACCTAATTAAATTTGAGTTTCAGGTACAGAGTGAAAAGAATTTAGTATAAGTTATGTCCCAAATATTTCATAAAATGTACTTTTAACAACGTTGGTATCCGGAATCCAAACTTAGCTGGGCGTCCTGTGTTTTATCCGGTCGCAGCCCCGGTGAGGATGCGGGCCATGTGGCCGAGTGTCGTTTCTGAGGGTCGTTCTTCCATCTCCGCTGCCGCTGCTCGGGTCCACGGTTTCCCCTGGAGTCCCACAGTCTCCTTCCTAGTCTCTCCATCGCTCTCACTGCCTCTCACAGGCCCCGGGTGGTCCTGGCGGAACCCAAGCACAGCCCGCTAACGCCGCCCGTGCCCTCCCGCTGCACTTCGCGTGGAGCCCAGGCCCCCAACGCGCCGCGGCCTCCCGCCCGCGCGCGGTCTGTCTCGCGCGCACTGCAGGGCTTGTCCCTTGTCGCTGAACGCCCGCCCCCTTCGTCCTGTGCCTGGCTTCTCCCCGTCCCTTATTCCCGTGGGGACCTCGCTGTCCAGGCTGTGTGACGCGGTGGCGCCCGCCTCGCCCCCTGGCACTGCCCTCTGCCGTTCAAGGCGTGTGCTTGTCGCCTCCCCTGCGAGCAGCGCCCGTGTCCACCCCACAGTCCCGGAGGTCACCCGCGGGCTCAGGGTAGTGGGCTGGAGAGGGTCTGTGGAGAGGGGTGGCGGGCGGGTGGGCTGGAGAGGGTCTGTGGAGAGGGGTGGCGGGCGGGTGGGCTGGAGAGGGTCTGTGGAGAGGGATGGCGGGCGGGTGGGCTGGAGAGGGTCTGTGGAGAGGGATGGCGGGCGGGTGGGCTGGAGAGGGTCTGTGGAAAGGGATGGCGGGTGGGTGGGCTGGAGAGGGTCTGTGGAGAGAGGGGTGGCGGGCGGGTGGAAGGAGGCTGCCGGAGTCCGAGCCTCAGCTCTGTCGTTGTAAGATGTGAGATCTTTGAGCAGCTGCTCACCCTCCCTCAGCGTCAGTTACCCGAGCCTTCAAACGGGCCTGACGATACCCATCTCTCAGGACTGGCATTAGAATTAAGTGACGGAATAGGCCAGCAGTCTTTTATTACAGGCCTGTTGGTCAGAAACTTAAGTATTAGCTGTTTTCACTGCCGTGGTACTGTTTCCAGTATCATCTTGTCAGCGTTTGAATGTTTTCAGTTACCATCTAACTTTGAGACTCTCTGTTGCTTTTTGGAAAACATAAGTGTCACACATTGTCTTATCCACATCATCTTCTACTTGTACCTTCTGTGATGGCAAAGCCTCGATCTTTCCTTTGAAAATTTCATACACAGCAATTGTCATCTCAACCTCCCATTTCTCTGAGTCCTCACTGCTCTCCTGCAGTTCCCTTCCTGCACTTTTCCTTTCCTTCTTTCTCTCTCTTTTTCTTTTTCTCTTTCTTTTCTTTTCTTTTCCTCTATGTTTGTTTCCTCCTTTCCTTTTTAAAATTTATTTTTATTTTTTTGGAGACTGGGTCTTGCTATGTTGTCTAGGTTGGCCTTGAGCTCCTGGTCCCAGCATCTTCCTGCCTCAACCTACTGAGTAACACAGACTACAGGTGTGTGCCACTGTGCCTGGCTCCTCCCTTCCTTCTTCCTTTTGTTTTCTTTTCTGTTCTCCTTCCGTTCCTTTCTTCCTTTCTCTTCTTTTCTCTTTGTTTTCTGCTTCCCGCCTTCCCGCCTTGCTCTGCACAGGCCCGTTGTTTCCCATATTCTTTTCTCTTAACACAACCGGATCAGAAATAGGAAGTTGCATGTTTTGTGTGTCATTTCTTTAAGTATTGTATCCCCAGTCAAATAAAAGACTCAAGACTTTCTTAATAAATGCTCCTAAGCCTCTCTTTGAAATTCTATCCTAGTGATAAAACTCATTTAATATTTCAAAACGCTCAAATATAACCCCCAGAAAATTTTTTCAACTGAGTCCAAATTATTTTTTAAATTGGATTCTTTCTGACACTTTTTACAAGGTGAGATAGGCTTCATTCCTCTTCGTACACTTAAAATTCGCTGTAGAGTGTACAAATAATTTTTAAGTAAAGTTATTCATGATTCAGAATGTGGATAATCTTAGGATTTTCTCTAAGAAAACCAGCAATGAATAAATCTCCCTTAAGTTGTGCATGTTATCTAATAATGCATTTTAGCACTTTTCTGCTTTTATTGGTAACACTAAAAACAAGCCATACACACACACACACACACACACACACGTGCCCTTCCCCACCCTCATGGGGAATGCGCTCTGGACCCCCTCAGCCACTGGCCTGCTCTGGCTGCTTTTTGCAGCTTTGGAATCTAGGCCTTTCCAGCCTGTTCTCCTGCCTCTGTCAATCATATAAATGAGCCACCTGCAAAGCTTTGAAACCAAGCTCTGGGCTGTTTGTCCAGCTGCGACATCTGACACTGTGGTTAGCTTGTTCGTTCTTGTGGCTGTTCTGTAGTCTTCTCAGATGAATGTTCTCTACCCTAGGAGCAGGAAAGAGCTGCCCAGCTGCTGGTGTGACTCATACTTCTGTATGTGATAGCTCCAAATTACACTCACTCACTGAGTAATTTGCTGGCTGTCGATTGCTTGTTAAGAGAGTGAGTAACAGTATTTTGAGTGAACTGGAGGCCTACTTCTTTTTTTAAGACTTGAGCCAAGCATGACTTCACCTGACTTCACACTTTTTTCTATAAAAAAAAAAAAAAATATGATTTTCTTCAGAGTTCGACAGACATTGAGCATCTCTGTCCGCAAGGCACTGTGCTGGCCAGCCGGAGGATGCAGCAGTGAGAAAACACAGTCCCTGCCTTCAAAGGGCTCACGATCTACCCTGGGGAGAAAGGCAGGAATGCCAGAGTTTAAGAGCCATAGGAAAAGTCTGAGAAAATGACATGGTTCTTTGGAGTGAGAGGTGGTGCCCAGTTACAGGGAGTATCAGACTACTGGGTAGAGGAATCTAGAATGGATTAGGGGTGAAGAACTGTTCCAGGGTTAGTGTCATTAGAAGTGGAACTTGTGTGGAGTTTAGAGAATCAGGAAAAGGAGACTCAGTGTGAGAGAACAGAGGAGTTAGAATCAGTGGGCTTTGGCAGGCAAACCAGAGGAAGGAGGAATCAAAGATAGAGCCAAGGATTTGAAGCTCAGTCACACACACAGAAGAACGGTGCCAGGAACAGACGGGGTGGCCAGGATAGAACGGCCCGGCCTCCTTTACTTAGCCAGTTTACTCCTTGGCTTCAAGTGAACTCATGCGGAGACAGTGAGGATGAGGAGCTTATTTATAGGAAGAGGTAGAAAGTTCTATTTGTGGATATGTTCGATTTTCTTCTGATAAAGTTTGGGATTTTTTTTCCTTTAATGTGAACTATTGATGCAAACACATGGAAATTATTCTTACCCTTTTTCTGCCCAAGAAGGCAGGCAGTCAGAGGTATATCATCCAAGCTATTTTGTTTCAAACAAATGAAGTAAATATTTTGACTTGTTGAGCAAATCCATCTGCTTCTAATATTTAACCTTTTTTCCCACCTACACACCTTTTGCATTTCTGTTTTGTAGAAAGCTATCTTAGTTGCATTCACAGAGTGAAATAATAGATGTAAAAGTGCTTTGAAAATTCTGAGAGCTATGCAAATGTTAATATGATCGTTAATATCTTTCATAAGCTTGTCTGTGGGAAATAGAGTTTTTTGAAAGATATTTTATATTTATATTCATGCTTTATACACCAGATCATTTTTTCTTACCTGATGCCACAATAAATATTTATTTTTATACTCTTAATTTTATTTAAGGTGAGTTGTGGTTGTGAGCTTTTCT